GGCTTTAGGAAAACCAAGTTCTCAGAAACTCTTGAAACCATGCATATCTTTGAAAAACATTTATAGACAATAATTTGCAATATTCTAGTTTAGATTGTTGGTGCTTCGAAATTCAGTGATGAGACGAATACAAGAATGATGTTTCAAAGGATGAATGACAAAAATAACGCTCTTTTGGTTGTTGACAAAGAACAACGGCTGGTTCCTTGGTCAAAGGTAGTCTCTTTAGAGCATCTATACTAACTCACCTCCCGGCCACCTCCTCTCTCTCCTCCCAGGGTGCACCTGGCCCAGGTACACCCTGTGATTGGCTCTTATCCAAAGTCATGCTGGATTCTAGACTGCTCTATAGGAAAGCCTTCAGACAAGGAATCCTTCCAAATTGGGCAGATCGCAATGATTCTGGACAGCATATTAATGATACACAGTCTCACTTTTCATTTATGTAACAAGAAGTGAGGAAACAGAAGCAGGCCATCTGGTCTCCCATTCATAGTATGGACATTTTTATTTATACTTAAGCCCTAGTGAAACCCTGAATGCACAGTAAACAGAACGCTTAACTACAGTCTGGGACTGTCACACTTCTGTCACTCATCACTTAGCAGAGGAAATGCACATATTCTAGGTGGAAATGTTCACATAGATTAAGTAAGTGTAGACAACACTTTGTTAGGATTTATCTAAAACACATATATACCCCAAAGCAGTAGCCTCAGCATATGGGCTGGGCTGAGGTTGTAAAAAAAGTCCAACAGGTTAGAGACCCAGTTCTCCTGGGAGTTGGTCAGATTCTATTCAACCTTCTCTAACTTCTGCTGCCCTCCAACCCCTACCAGCTACTGGCTTATGTATGAGAGGGGATGGAGGTGGACAGTGGACAAGCAACCCCAGCCAGAACTCTGTCTATCTCTGCCACTACAGGTTGCTGTTGTGATATGTCTCTGAGTCGGAACTAACTCACAGCTGAGCCTCCAGTGGGTTTTCAGAGGCTAGAAATCACCTGGGAGGAGAATCTCCATCTTTCTCTTGCGGAGCAGCTGGTGGATTTGAACCATATGCCTTTGGGTTGGCTGCATAGTTTCTTGCCACTGTGCTAGCAGAGGTCCCTTAGGGCTTTCCATTTATTTGGACCCAACTGTTCATCCTCCATCAAAGGCATCCACCAAGGACTCAACCTGAGCATAGGCCTTTTCAGAGCATGACAGTCATCTTAACTAACATTCTCCTGGAGAAGCGCTCAGAAAATCTAGACTCATCCACATGTGAGACTCATTCTTTGTAACAAATGTAGACTTAATTCTGATCCACTCATCTGTAAACTGTCCTTTGCTGTGGACCTAAGTTAAAACAATCTAACTGCAATAGGCTTTTCTCAGGTTACAGCTTTTGTGGCCCTTTGCCATCCAAGGACCCCAAGGGGAGGATGGGAGCATGGCTCACAGAAGAACACTGAGGCTCATGAGACCGAGGTCTGGGACGCGTGCTGTTCCTCACTGGCTAGGGGACCCTGGGCATGTCACTTACCCTTTCTATTGCCTCTTCCTCTCTGTGAAATGGGGTTATGGCATCCGCCCAAGTCTTCCATTCAATTAAGCTGAAAAGTGATGGTCTGCAGGAGAATATGAAAATGATGGACCACATAGTGTGCCCACACCTGTCACTGTGGTGATTTTCACCTGCCCTGGGCACTAGGATGACTTCCCTCCATCCACCACTCTCCACTTCTGGGTGTGTCCAGCTGGGTCTTTACTGTAGTAAAGACAGTAATTTTTTTAAGGCTCATATCCTGATTAAAAGACTCCAAGTTTTGTTTTGCCTCATTTAGAAGTTAGATTTTATAGATGCAGAAAGCAGGATGATCAAAGCAACTGTTCTGGAAGGAAATGTTAAAATCAGGGAACATCATTCAGAAACAGAGAATGCTCTCAGTTCCCCAGGAAAGCGCACTGTGGCTGGATGCTCACGAGTGGAAGGGGATGCTCTGCCTGAGATGGTGAGAAGCAGAGAGCCTCCGAGCTCAGATGTTAGCAGGACTGCACAAGAAAAGGGGGCACACTGACCAGCTAACACCAGGACAAGTTCATGCAGCATTTTAAGTTCACCCTTCACACCACCACTCATCTTTTGACCAACTGTTCACAAGCCTTCCTCTGGCATGCTTCCAGTTCATTTTTCTTAAATACATGAAGGAACATTAAGATTTTGAGAGAAAAGCAGAAGGAATGGAAAGCCTAATGCTTTTGAAATTGCTTCTGTCACTGATGAACCCAACTTAAAAACCAGCTCCCACTGCGTTGATGCTGACTTGTGGAGACCCGTGTGGGTCAGGGTGGGATTGTGTTCCGCTGGGTTTTTAAGTGACTAACTTTTCCTCAAATGACTAACTTTTTCTGAAGTAGTTCATCGTCTTTTTCTTTTTTAAGTTATCCTGGGTGACCTTGGACTTCCGGGTTTTAGTTGGCCAAGTGCATAAATCGTTTGTACCACTCAGGAATTCCAAAGCCAACTTACCTTTCCCTGTGAAAGAGTCCTCACTGCTTTTAGCTCTTAAGACTCCGAAGGATCTAGAACTAGATGACCCTGCACAGCCAACGGCACCTGTCTACATTCCTCACCTCCCACCTCTAAGGTGCTTGTCAACCTCTTCAGTGTGGCTGAGGTTGGAACACAGGTGTCAGCCACAGAGGGACACAGATGCCATCCATGGCAATGGCTCTACCACTTCATTTCCACCCTGGACTGAATGGTGTCCCGCAAAATACACATGTAATGATATAATGTGGAAACCATGTAATGACCCCACATGATCGGATAAACCAAACAGCTGTAAGAAGATTAAAGATGGACTGCTGCACCCTTTAGTTCCATCACAGTCATGGTAGATAGAAGGGAAGCGTCCCTAGGGTGTGGCCTGGAACACATTTTCTTTCACTAGAAATCAAAGGGGAGGAAATGGAGCTGAGAAGGGGACCTTGGGACCACAAGAAAGACTTGCCAGGAGTAGAGTTTGTCCTGAGAGCCAGGTCTCTGCCTGAGGAAGCTCCTAACATCGGAAAAGGCCAAGATATAAGGAGGTTTCCAAGGAATGAGGAGCCATCAGCTGCTGATGGAAACCTTTCTTCAGGACCGACAGAGACCTTCCCCCAGAGCCGGCACCCTCTCTTTGGATCTCATCTTCTACACCATAAGAGAACAAATCTGTGTTTGTTAAATTCATCCCCCGGCGGTCTCTCTCTTACTGCAATACTAGATAATGAAGATATTTTTCTAAGTCACTGCTAGCGGAACACACAAAAAGGCTTTAGCAAAAGACCTCATCCTCCTACCTGAACATACTTCAGCTGGTCACGTAATACACAGTGCGGGTGGCTGGCTCACCACCAGCCCCCCGTCCTCAGGGCCCTGATAATGATAGTAGGAAGCTGCTGATTGTCAAGTGTCATGAGAGACACTTGGAACTCGGGGAAAGAGCAGGGAGAGCTCTACCCCACCCCAATCACCAGGAGGGGTGACCACACTGTCCATTTCCTGTCCACTCCTCTCCCTCTTTTCTGAGTTCCCCAAGAGCCCAGTGAATGCAACTAAAAACTGCCAAGGGCCGCCTGCCACCTATGGAATCCCCCTAAAGTACCTTGGTGCTCTAAATCATAAGCTTCCCCTCCTTTCCTCATGCCACACAAGACCACCCTGCGGGGTGGGGGTGGGGGTGGGGGCTCAGCTAGGTGAAGAAGAGCCATGGGCCTGAAGACTCACCGTGGGACCCGGGTCACAGCTGAGGGGATGCCTAGCTCCCCTCTCAGGTTGTGTCTAACAACTGGAGCACATTATCAAGAAGGTAAATTCTTTGGGGGGGGTCCTCAAAGGAAGCCCCAAAGTCCCCCAGAATGCACTGAGAAATGTACGGGTCCAGGGACGTGAAATCTCCTGTCTTGCCTGGACCAGTCCTCCTTAACAGAGAATACCAGCAGTAGCCTGGAAAACTGTAGCCCATGAGAAGCTCTGTAAGAGGGGAGAAGAGGTCCATGTTTTAGACCTTCCTCAGCAGGCACTGAGAGGAGTGAGGCCAATTGGGCAAAACTCCTCTGTCCTAAGGTCAAGGCTCAGCCACGTGACTGTTGCCTCCCTTATAAAGCTGTGTGATTTCTTAGGCTTCAACTATCCACACCCAATATAGGTACCTACTCTAAGTCCTAAGCCCTGGGCAGCTCCTAGGAGTCCTGGAATTCCCAGGTCATAGGAAAAGGACAGTCTCAATATCAGAGCCCCCCCCCACGGCCCACCGCCAGGACACCATTGGCTGTGCTCCGAGGGCCTCAGACCAGCTTCCTCCCCTGCCACATTTCCTGTTTCCACAACTCCTGAGGCAACCCTGGGGTTTGATCACACATTTGAATTTATACTGTCAATCAACCAGCATAACTAGGATGGCGGCCCAGTCACCAAGACAAACTCTGGTGTGGGGTTTGATTAACACACTATATTCTGTTGATTTGTTGAATGGAACAGGTATTTATTAAGCACCTACTTGCGCCAGACACTGTGCTAGGCACGCTTCCTGCACGCTTCTCTCACAGCACAACCATCTGTTCAGAAAGAAAAACCAAGAAAAGGAACATTGTCGCAACCATACAAACTGGGCAGGTGGGGTGTGATGGACACAGGCGAGTCTCGGGCCTGAAAACACACCCACCAGAAACTAGAGTCCTTTCTCTGGACAAATCTCTACGCAGTGAGTGTTTTAAAGCATCTCAATATTTACTGAGTAAAAACTCATGATCTTTCATGATCTCACACATTGGGGCCTAGCAGACATTCAAATACTCTGAATGCCAGTCAAGAAAAGAAGAAAACCACTTGGTGTGAAGGATATTCATATCTAGATTAGAAAGTATAATTTCTCACACCCCTCCAGTTCATATGGTTGCAACAGCCCTTAAGAAAGAATATAAAGGTCCCTGCCCTGACTACATAACTAGGGAGACCTAGTTCTGGATTCCTGAGACAGAATCTTCCAGTTGTCCACAACCTCACAAGGCCAGAGAAGCAGAGATTTCTAATCGGAAGAGGAATTGAGTGGACGGCACAACTGGTTTGGAAACACGACAGACTGCGCCTGCATTTACAGAAGCAACGCAAACAGAACATCCTAGTCCTAGGTGGCCTCCCGCACACACACAGTGGGCTAACGCCTGGCCCAGCCCTAGTTGTCCGTGCCCAGCTTGGAGAGGCCCCTTCGGAAGTCGTGGAGGTCGTCGATCTTCCCGTCCAGCACCTCCAGGAAGTTCTTCAATTCCACCTTCAGGTGGCGCTGTCGGTACTTGCTCTCCTCAATGTCCGTCTTTAGCGACCGCACTTTATCTTCCAGGTTTTGATTGTCTCTCTCTGCTGCCTGAAGTAAAACAAAAGAGGCAAGAGTCTAGAAAACAGAGCGGGTGGGGCCACTAAAGTCCATTCGAGCCATACTGTCCATTCTCCACCAGACCTGCGGGGCTTGAATCGAGTTTGAGATCCCGAGGGGGAAAATATCACCTTACTGCTGTTAGAACCCGGCAGAGCGGGGCCCCCCAGGGGGTTTTCAGAGTCTGTAAATCACATGGGAAGAGACAGCTCATCTTTCTCTCCCAGGGCCTCTGGTGGATTGAAACTGTCAGAGAGGCACTGCCTTTGGGTGAGCAGCACAACTTCCTAGATTACACCACCAAGCTACCCGAAAACCCCTAGAAATGCTCTAAGTCCCCAAATATACAGGCACACAGGGCTGTGGCCACCGAGGTCAGAGAGGAAGCAGTTAATGCAAATACTGCAAAATGGGTCTGCAAAATGAGCATCTGTTTGGGGTGATAAAAATTTATGGAAGCAAACAGCAGTAATGTCTACAACACCGTGAATCTAATTATTACCACTGAATTAACTGGGCACTTAAAAGTGGTTAAGATGGTAAATTTTATGCCACATACATTGCAGTGATGTTGTTGTTAGGTGCCACTGAATCACGTGTACCTCACAGCCACCCTCTAGGACGGAGCAGAACTGCCCCACAGGGTTTTCTAGCTGTGATTTAGCCCCCAGGTCGCTCTCCTGGGGAGCTTCTGGGTGGGTTTGAACTGCCAACCTTTTCGTTAGCAGCTTTGGTTAGTATTTAAGTGTTGCTTATTTATGCATTTTATTATAATTAAAAAGAAAAAGCAACAGCAGACATTTTTTTCATGGTTCCTCCTTCCTGTTTGTTTTCTGACAGAAGTGATAACGTAGCCTGAAGAACCAAGTCCCAACACAGAACACAGGACCCTGCATCCCTCCTGAGGGAGCCTGTTTCAAATTCACACTGAAATTCCAGCAAGGCTTTCAGCCCCAGGTCTGGGGTGGTCAGCAGAGGCTCCCTTTCATCTGGAGAGCCAGGAACTGAGAAGAGATGGGAGGACAGTGGCTGGTATTGCAGCTCCACAGATGGGGCGAGGCCTCCTCAGCCTCTGGTCAGCCTCTGGGTCTCAATAAGGAAGTCAAGGAGGACTGGCCATGTCAGTGACTTGGGGACAGACAGTGTACCCAGATGCTGTTACCATGGAGACGCAGGTCCCTGCTCTTCCAAAGCAGGCCCTCCGGGCGAATCTGCCAGCTAGCTCTGGAAGACAGGACAGCTGTACGTCCTTGAATGAGGCTTGCGTCTCAAGCAAGAGCTTCCGAAATGCTTTCTTTCGTGGGCATAAAAGGAGACGAGCTTTTGAACACGTACACATGAGCCAGGAGCTAACACTGGGGATGCATACCTGAATAAACTGCTCTCTCTATATATCCAAGGACTTGAAGTCAGGAGACTCCTGGAGGTGGAGGAAAGCATGAAACTCCTTTTTATACGAACCAGGCACTGAGATCAGCGAGGGACCAGAAGTGGGCTGACATCCAGATCTTATGCCCAAAGCCTAGCCCTGCAGTGTCTGCTCCTCCCACCTCTGTGGTCCTGGGGGGACTTCTGTGGGTGGAAACAGCTACCTACAGTGCTGCTATACACAGGACTACCTCTTTATAGCTAGAAAAAAATCCAAAGACAAACACTGATGCATACACACCCGGGGCAAATATGGCATCAGGTCTGCAATTACCACTGCTTTTTTTTTTAAACCACTGGCTTTTATGAAGAGAAAAGCATTCTTATTTAGCATGTGAGGTGTGGCAGAGAAAGGAGGCTGAGGTGACGAGGGACAGCACGTCCACCTTCCTGGCTAAGCTGAGCTAGCCAGCCTCATCCTTACCTCTAATTTCTCAGAGACGTATTCACACTCCGACATGAGCTGAGGGATGATTTCACTTTGCTTTCGGAGATCCTTCAACTCCTACATGACACAGAAATGAGTCAGGTACAAGGTCTTCCCATAAACTGCTGACGTGTGTCAACACCAACAGGAGCTGTGACGATGATGCTAATCCTTCAGCGTCACGTCATTCTAGGAGCTAAGTGAGTTCCATACATTATCTCATCAAGGCCCTAAGAACTCAGTGGCTGTGGCATGGATTTGACTCAGGGTGACTCCACATGTGACAGAGAACTGTGCTCCGTGGGGTTCCCAACGGTGTCTGTTCAAAGCTGATCACCAGGCCTTTCTTCCGAGGTACCTCTGGGTGGATCTGAACCTCCAAGCTCTTGATTACAGTCTGTCCCATCAGCCATCTGCACCACCCAGGGACTCTTTAAAAACACAACAAACCCAAACCCACTGCTGTTGGGTGGCCTGTGACCCACAAGAGCACTACAGAGCAGAGCAGAAGTAACCCTCAAGCTTTCCATGGTCATGACCCTCATGGAAACAGAATGCCTCATTTTTGGAACACCAAGTGCTCAACCAATGTGCCACCGGGGACCCCACGTCCCACCAGAAAAGTTCCAGATATTCTTGGGATTCCAGTTGTGTAGATGAGGCCGCTGGGACTAAAAGAGGTCGGGCAGCTGGCCCATAGATTCTTGGGTCTACATACCCCTCACCAGGAAATACTCAACTCTGTGGCTGGTGACTCTGGCTATATTAATTAGACAGCAGAACTCAACTTCCAGTGAGAGATGGAAGATTATCTACCAAGTTTCCCAACTGTACTGTTGGACAGTCTACGTCCTCTCAGATCATGCTAAACGCAGGAGGGGATGTGACAGGTGTGACCTGATCTCTGGGCTCTGAGGCACCTGTGTGTGGCTGTTACTCCAGGCTCTGTCTTGGTCTGGGCAGCTGCCAAGGCCGAGTCACATGGCCCACAGCCAGCCACCGTGTCCTTGGGTTCTATCCCACCCATGATGCCCAGGGGACGACGAGGGGACACTACCTTTCACCCACAATGACTCACCGTCTCTTTCTCCCGGAGTTCTGATTCCAGCTCCTCGATCCTGCGCTTCAGCTGGCTGTTTTTCTCTTTCTCTCTGTTTATCTCACTGCATTGCTCTTCCAGCTCGTCAATCTTAAATAAACATTACACGTTAGAGCAAGCATGCTCATTTATGTTAGATGCCAAGCAAGAGATCACCGCGGCTCTGTGGCTGTTTCCCCTTTAGAAAGGATATAAACTAACCAAAAAACTAAAAATGGCATAAAACTACAAATTTCAAAATATTTTCTTTGTGACTTTGAACGAAATCTATGCAACATGGAGCTGTGTTTTGTCCCACTCACAGGAGATGCTTTTTTTCTCTCTCCCAGTGCAGCCAAACAACAGAGCAAAACCTGGTTTCAGGCTGTTCTGGGCTCCGTCTCCTCACAGCCACAAGACAGCACCATTGGTTTGCTTTAAGGGGCAGTCACAAGCCAGGGCCAGCTGTCCCCTGACACCCTCTGCTTCTTCTCAGCATGATCTTCCACATCATTTTAATATGTCCTGAATTATGCTGTTTCATCTCAAGGGTTCAAGCCTGCAGGGCTAGGAACTGAGTAACTCCATGGGACGCAGGCAGCCCAATGGGAATGGTGACCTTTCAAGCATTTTCTTTCTAGATGACCTTTGCCTATTGCTGTGTGCACCAGGCCTGACCTGCAGACCTCTTCCTGAGACACAGAAGGTGGGCTGAGCAGCAAAGCCAGGCTGTACCTGCCTCTCCATCCTAGTACCTCTTGAACAGATGTTTCTGCAAGGAAGGACCTAGTCCCCAGGATTGCCAAGTGACAGTGAGCATTTCCAGGGACCAAAGTGTGTGTGCAGAGTGGTGGGTTCTGAACTGAGGGGGAGCATGAGAACACTACAAGGGAGGGAGACCTAGGCACCCTGACCACAGGTCCTAGTTATTAAGGGCACTAGGCAGAGGCTGGAAGGACACCACTCCAAGGGTCTGCGACCCTCAGGGTCTGAACTGGGGCATCTGGAGAGAACTCCACCTTCAGTTCCTAGGCCTGGAACTCAATGTCCAAAAACTCCCCATTTAGGGACAATGCATTCTTCCTTCTGTGACACAAAACCTCCACCTCTGGCTCCCACTCCAGCCCTTTGGAGGTTAAATACAAAGCCAAATACTCAGTTCTCTGCTTGGGGGGTGGGAGGAATAAAGGACAATCGATCTTGCTGGCAAGAGGATCTGGCAGGTCCTGGAATGGAACTTGCAAAGTCAGCAGCTGGCCCACTGCCCTCACGGTCAGCACTTTGGACATTTACATGGAAAGCTCAACATGGTCTGCAAAAATGACAGAAGGCACTTGGAGGTGCCGCCAGCACCAAAGCCAGATGGTGATGGGGAGCGCTGGGCTATAGGGACGCCACTCGGGCCAGGCAGGGCAGCTGCCAGTGGGGCCGAGAGACCCTCCTGGTGCTCACTTAGAAGGCAGACACCAAACTCAAGCACTCACAGCCTGTGAGAAAAGTGACTGGACCAAAACCTCGTCAACACAGAAACCTCAGTCCTCGAAGGGGGACTCTAGGCACTCAATCGACTTAAGCAGCTCTGCAGAAATAGGGAGAGTGGGTGATCAATCACAGGCAAGCGTGGGTGAATTCAAAAGACGCCAGAGTGCCAGCATCCCACGGTGGGAGAGCAGAGGGCTCCGGCCCGCCCACAGCGGCTGTCAGCACCCAACCTCCTCATATTCCCAAGGCTATTTATTACGTCCCTTTACGCTCCTCCATTTGCAGTTTGACAAATAATGATTTGGACAGAAGCAGGGCTTCTAAGGAAACGATTTTCCTTAAAGTCTATCTTCTCCCTCAGCATGAACCTTTCACATCTCTCTTTTCCATCAAAGACCATGAAGCATAGAAATGCCAACAGAGGGGCCCCAGGGTAAAGGACCAACCCCCAACAAGTACCACAAGGCGCTCTCTCAGAGGAACTAAAAGTAAAACCCTATACATATCTACCTTTTTTTGGTAGAAACAAACAAAAATCCTTCACTGCCAACAAGTCAGAACCAATGCACAGCAGATTCTCCTGCAGGTTTCCAAAGCTGTAAATTGCACAGGAAGAGACTGGCCATCTTTTTCTGAAGGAGCTGATTTTGAACTTTCAGAGAGGTACGGCCTTTGGTTGGGATTTGCAACACAACTCCTTAGGAACTACACCTTCACAGCGGTCTTAGCAGAGGAAATGAGAAAAAGTGATTGCATAAGAATAATAAACCTGGTATCTGCAAGGTCAAGTCTTCACCGAGAAAGGCAGCAAAGCAGCATCACATAAAAGACGGGATCCCCCAGTGAGAAGGGGCAGGTAATAGGAAGGGCCAGACAGGCGGCCATGACTGATCAGCAGAAGTCTGGCACAGGAGAATCAGCACAGCACAGAGATTTCCCAGAATAAGAAAGCATTTGTTTCAAGAAGGATAGGATAACTGTGTCAAACACTGCCTCACTACAGGGCAAAGTTTGCTCCTTGGATTGATCCTAAGTGCCCAGAGAACTACACTCCATCTCTCCTTCTATTATAATACTTAAACTAGAGGGTGAGTGAAACCAAGCTGTCCTTGGAGGCAAGGCTTTTGAAGGTCCTTCTCACATGCTTTGGGCATATTGTCAGGAGGGACTAGTCCTTGGAGACTAGTCATGCTCGGAAGGGTGGAGGGTCAGTCCAGGAGGAGAAGACCCCGTATGAGACAGAATGACATAGTAACTGGGGTAATGGGGGTAGGTATGTCAGGGGCAATGAGATTGACTCAGGATAGGGCAGGATTCAGTGCTATCATGCATGCATTGGGTCGCTATGAGTCACAGTTGACAAGAAGGCAAGACAACAAGAAGAAACATTACAGATATGGGGCGTGTGCATTTAAAGAAGAAAAAAAGAAAGGGGAAAAAAGTGTGGTGTTGTGGGTCTTGCTCAAAATAGCTTTTCTAGGCTGCTGCCCATGGCTCTGCCACATGGCTAGGTGGGAATATGCAAGTAGAGTGTGTGATTCTATCCATGGGGGGACTGGCTAGTTTTCACCTTGTCTTGAGAACGAAATTGAGCAGGTTTAGCAGTAGGAGGTTGGACGCTCACCACCAGCAAAGAAGCAGCAAAGAATGCAGCAGAAAGAGATTCCTGCTCCAGTCGGTCCAGACAGGAAAAGCTGCAGCAGCAGAGAACTAGAGAATGACACGGGGCAGAGCTGATCTGGGACTGACGCTCCACGGAGCCAGAGAGAGGGGCCTTCACCCGAGTTTACTGGAGGACAGTGGGGGCAACACCGTAAGTGGCAGGACTAAGAAAGCTTTGTAACACTGACCTAAAGCTGCGAGAGTGAAGGCTGAAGGGCCAGCAAGCATGCCTCAGAATCTGTCCAGAGTGAGAAACTGTATCCTGTTGCCAACCCAAAAGGTAACCTATTAACTTCTCTAATAAGCCCCATAATTGTGAGTATGGTTCTGTGAGGTCTGTACAGCTATTGTGATGGATTTCAGACCCAGCAGAGCAGAAGGACTGGCGCTGGAATCAGTAGACGTGGATGTGGGAGCATGGGGGACATCCTTAACCTCACAGGAATTGGTTTTGTTGTGGAAGTTCTTGATAGGGACAGACCCCCCTCCTTGTGGAGTTAGCAGTGGTCAGATACAGCTAGCTCTGTGCTGCACCTGCTCTTTTTACAGAAGGAAAGAAGAGGAAAGGCAGGAAGCTCAAAGATGAGGGACAGCAAGTCTTCTCCAGCCCACGGGGGAGCAGTCACAAGACGAAGGAGGAAGGGAGAGAGCAGCAAAGCAGGGTGGGGTCTGTCTCCCACAGCCCACTCCCGCCAGCCTCAGAGGACGGTCTTCCTGTTCCCACGGGGCCCAGCACTCTCAGGATGGCCCTTAGGCTGGTGGCCCACCTTGTTTCGAAGCCGGTCATTCTCATCTCGGCAGATGGAGAACTGCCTCTTCCACTGCTCCACGCTGGCTGCTGACTCCTGCAGTGCTGTGGTCAGCCGGGCGTTGCTCTCCCGCAGGGTCTGCAGCTCGATCTCCCATTTCTTCACGTTGGCAGCGCTGCAATGTGAGGGGCAAGGAGGTGACCAAGGTGGTGGTGTGTTCTTACTCCACCTCCACCCTCCTGGGGGGCTCCTGTGGCCCTACAGCCCCCCCACCCCGGGCCCACACTGGGCTGGCTCCCCATGCTAGGAGCCAAGGAACACTGGTACTTCTTTCTAGCATGAATGTGTGTCATTTTTAGGGCTTTCCACACCCCTCCCACCCCCTGCCAAAGAACTGCCTTAGAAATAAAAGAATTCTTAAAGAATAAATACAGAAAACTAAGAATGAAGGCCACACAGTGTAAATCAGGACTCACTTCCCTCCTACTTCCTGACAGCCCAAACCAAAGCCCTCTTCTCACATCAGATTCTCCCCTCGGGCACCAGTAAACCAGATGCTTCAAACTGACTTGTGGTGACACCATGAACGTCAGAGCAGAGTTCAAGATCAGTGGCTGATTCTGCAGAAATAGCACTAGATCTTCTTCTGAGGTACCTCTGGATGGGCTTGAACCTCCAATCACCTTTAGGTCAGCAGCTAAGTGTGTTAACTCGGCACCTTTCTTAGGGACAGGGCTCCTGGATTTCTGGCGAGGGGTGTGGAGATGTTTGAGAATCTCATGAAAGAATGTCAATCCGTTCTTTAGAGACCAATAACTCTAAACAAACAAAAAGCCTTGCTCCAGGGGGATAATAATCCCACTTGTAACTTGTTCTTCCTCAGAACCTTTCAACAAAGCTAAATTTGAGAGCTGAGGTCCTGAGGGCAGAAGAAACAGTGACTTACTTGGGAATCCAATGTGGGCAGAAGTGAGGTTCTCACCAGTGTGTGAGGGCCACTCTGGCTGGCCTCAGGCCCCTTCAGAGGAGTGTGAGGCCCCATGGTCTGAGGGACACCTCTACCATTACCACAGAAATGTCAGGTTTTACTTTTGATTTGATGTGCTCAGGGAAAACCCATACATAGCCATCAAGTGAGTTCTAATGCACAGTGATTTCAGGCACAGAAGAACTGCCCACAGGATTCCCCTCCACCCCCCAAGGCTGTAAATCTTTACATCTTTTCCCTCAGTGTTTACTGGGCTTGAGCCACTGACCATTCAGTCGGTAACTCAATGCTTAACCCACAGGGCCACTAGGGCTCCAGCTCAATGAGAAAGAAATTTGAAGAAACAAACTGAAGGCAGGTAGCCCTCAGCCACTGTTCTTCCTGGAGCCGCCTATATTTCCTTCTCTGAGAGATTGCACATCTAAGGGGTTGAATGTGACCTGTGGTGACAGGAGAGAGAAGTCCAAGTGAAAGCTCTTGGTTCCTGATCAATACTGCCTTGCAGAGGCGAGTCCAATTACTAAAAGCCTTGGTGGCAGGGGGGACCCCCCCAAAAAAATCCTGTATCTGAATAATCCGCAGTGGTTTTTCAAATCTCATGGCCTCAAGGACCTTATGTGGCTCAAAAAAATACATACTTTCAGTGTCAAACTCCACAGACTGGAAAAAATAAATACTAAAATGCCCTTATCTAATTAATTTCAGACTTGATGACAGAGAATTTAAGCTGATTTAGAGAAATGGCCTCACGCCCGTTCCTGCAATGCACTCATCCATTAAATAGGGATTTTAAAACGTTTATTTTTAGGGGTGAAACATTTATATCTAGACAGCCCACTGTGACTTGAAAAACCAAAAATAGCAGTCTCCTGATGAGTAAGAAAAGGGACTGGGGTTGGCCAAGTTCTCTGAAGTCCCTGACAAAGACCCACGGCCCAGAGGTAGGTGATCAGGTCTAACATGGCATTTGGCTCCTGGAACTCCTGGCTCAGACCACAGCAATTATGCTCCAAGTACAACCAGGCCAGTGGAGGTGAAAATGTGGGTGCAACCCCATGGTGGCTCCATCTGTGCAGGACAGGCTGCCTCTGAGGTAGTTCATGAAGAGACAGCAGGATTATGAATCATGTGACCTTGGGCAAAGGGTCATTTTAATCACTTGGGACTCAATTTTCTCATCTGTAAAATGGGGCAATTTAGATTATGCTGGCTTCTAAAGCTCTTAAATGCAGCAATTCTGAAGAGATCAGTTTCTGGGCCACAGAGAGGCTGGTGGCAGCCAGCAGCGTCTCAGGCCAGGCAAGCAGGATGAATCTGAAGACAGAAGCAGCTCTGAGTGTGGTCAAGGGGCCAGTGCACACCACAAATCCTAGCTCTGGGGGGATGGGGAATGTTCTTGAGATACAAAAGCAGTATGACTGACACACATACACACACTCATATACACTCACACATTTACATACCTTGTATGTAAACACACCATCATTGTTCTAGTCATACACTGTCTCTGTCTCATTTTCCCTGTGACTGTCTCTGTCTAATTTTATGTCTGTGTGTCTCTCTTTCTCTCTGTCTCTCACGGTTTCTCTGTCACATACTAACTGATACTGGTGTGGTCAGTCAGAGGAAGAACAGACACGAAGGCCTGTTGGCCTTCCTCCAATCATGACACAAGACTGCATGCGCTGCAGGCAGGATCAAGTCTCCAGCAGGAAGGGCTTCCAAGGAAGTGATGGGCCTGAAGAGTAGGATATGGATCTTCTACCACCCTCACCTCTGTGTCAAAGCAATCTTCAGTTTGTCGTTCTCAGATTTCAGGTGCGTGTCGGCAGGACTGCTGTGGGAGGCCTTTTCATCGTCTGTTCCGTTGACGCTGGATGCCTGAGTAGAAGATGGGGTTTCACACCCAGATTCCTGGTCAAAGTGAATTATCTCCACACGTTATTACTCATCCTCATGTTGGCAGCAAGTTAGGCAAAAATGGAAATTAATTACGAGTGTGGACAGACCAATTCATCTGTCCCAAATGCAGTGGAGACTAAAACAGACTAACAGATCGATCACTAAATGGAGAGACCTTGAAGGGTCCCTGGACATTCACCAAGTCTCTGCACTTTCCTGATCCAGATGTGGCCTTTTTTTTACCAAAATTTCATAGACAAACCTAACAAGCTTGGCTGACAGGGTTCTTGAAATACCAATGAACAAAGGTACAGATTAAAAGGGGATGAGGGGCTGTCAAAATAATAATAAGAGCCAATTAATAAAGAAAGAGAAAAGTCACTGGAAACTAAGATAAGCGTCTAAAAATCCTGGGGCTGTACAGAGTTAGATCAAGGCACTCATTAAAAAAGGTAAAACCTAAACATGGATGTTTGCTGTCTTCATTCCTAGCTGATGTTGTTATAACAATTCTGAAATGTTCTCTGTATAAGCAGCACCAAGTGGAGGTGAAATCTCATCTCATCTTGGGTAAGAGCCTGATTAGCCCCCAAAAGGCACAGAGGCAAAAGGACCCATGAAGGGGAACCATCAATTAATCTAACTAAATTTATTTAAATTGCAAAATATACCACAAAGGAAAGTAAAATGCATGTAACAACCTGAGAGGATGGATGCAGCAGATCTTAAACACAAAATCTTAATACTTTCCTTGTATTGACAGACTCTTTAGAATCCTTATCATCTAGAGCTAAAACCCCCAAATCTGCATGGCTGAAATGATAAGACATATGGGGTCACAGGAAGGGTGGAAGTGGGTGAAGACATGAAACAAACAGCAACCAATTCTTGATTAATAAAGCTGACCATGGGGCACAAAGGGGTTCTACATTATTCTGCTTAGCTCTGCCTATGTTAAAAAAAAAACCAACAACTCTAGGAAAACAATACAAAAAGATGAACATCTGAATTTTTAACAAAGGGAAAAGATGGATACACAATTGACATTTACAAGCAAAGAAATGCAAAGAATTGGTAAACATATAAAAACATTTCATCTGAGTAGTAAAGAAATAGAAAATGAAATAAACACAATAAGCGACATTTTTCACCTGTCACATAAGCAAGTATGTGTTGGTGATGGTGCGGGAGGGAAATGCTCTCCCTCACTGCTGGGGGGAGCACCAACTGCAGTTTCTGTGGGCTAAGTTGGTATTACCCATCAAAAGCTTTAAGAACGTCTTCGCTTTTAACCCAATGCTTTCAGACTTTTATGGAACTCGAGAAAATCATACAATGCAAATGATAAGCAAGAAAGTTCATCATAGCATTGTTTATGCTAATGAAAATTGGAGGGAAAATTCAGATGTCTCAAATTACAGGAAGCTAGTGGGAAAAACTGTAATCAAACAAACCTTAGAGGATTTTTGAGACATAAAATATTCTTGAAAGGGAATATTTGAAAACATGAGAAATTGATCTTAACATATAAAGTCTTTAAAAAATGAAAAGTATAGGAGTTCTGGCGGCCTAGTGGCAAGAAGCTGCACTGCAATCCTGAAGGTTCATGATTTGGGTCCACCAGAGAACGAGGGGCAGTCTCCTCCTGTACCAGTCAGATCTGACTTGATGGTACACAACAAGAAGAAGAAAAAAGAAAGAAAAAGTATAGTACAAAATAAAAAACACAGCATAAAATCAGGCTCTGGTGGCCTAGTGGTAAGGCACGCAGTTCAAATCCACCAGCTGCTCAGTGGGAGAAGGATGGACAATCTCCTTCCATGCAATTTACTGTCTCAGAAAACTCACTGGAGGGTCAGCTATGAGTTGGTTCCGACTCAATGGTACACAACAACAACAGTCCAACAATATAAAAATATATGGAAATGAATATATATATATACTGGGGGGGATACATTGAAAAACTACATTTAAAAAGCGACACCCAAATATTTAAAAAAAATCCCCAAATAGTGACAAAGCAGGGGATTCTTATTTCCTGCTTCATCATGTGACATAATTTTAAATTACCACAATAAAAAAGTATTGCTTTTACAGTCAGAAAAAAAAAACTCATACAAAATGTTTTTACTAGGCTGTTTAAATATTAACTTTTGAAAATTTGGCCAATGTGTTCATTTCTTAAGAGACTAGGAAAACTAGAAATCATGTGATTTCTAATATAAATAAAAACACACAATGATCACTCTGAGTAAACAAGATAAGGTAAATAAAAATAGAAACTTAGACACAATCATTTACACAGAATTAATTAATAACATTAATTTGGGGGCATAGTGGTTAAAATGCTTGGCTGTTAACCAAAAGGTGTGAACCCACCAGTAGATTCAGAGGGAGACCTGGTGGCTGAGTGGTAAAGAACTGCATTACCAATCCAAAGGTATGTGGTTTGAATCCACCAGCTTCTCTGTCGGAGAAAGATCGGCAATCTCCTCCCAAGATAGTTATTGCCTTTGAAAACCCGCTGGAGGGTCAGCTATGGGCTGGTTCTGACTTCATGGTACACAACAAGAATCACATCCAGGGGAGAAGAATATGGCAGTTGGTCTCCATAAATATTACTGCCTTGAGAACCCTAGAGATAGTTCTACACTACCCCACAGGGCACTTACGAACTGGCATCAACCTGACAGAGTCAGTTAAATAACATCTCATAGGCAAACTCCATTGTTTGTGAGGCTTAAAGTACATTTATGGGGAAAATACTCAAACAAAAATCTTTAATAAAGAAGTCCAGGTATTAAAGTTTGAAGGCATCACTACTATAGTGATATTCAGAAAATAGATGGTACTTTAGAAACATTTCAGAACCTAGATCTAATTTACAGATTTCTTAGAGAATACTCAATAATGTCGTTGTTACTGTTGCTCTTACGCTGTTGAGTCAGAACTCACAGCTGACCCTGCAGCAGGTCTTCAGGGACTACAAATTGCATGCGAGGAGACTGCCCTTTTTTCTCCTGTGGAGCAACTTGTGGATTTTAACTGCTTTTTGGTTATCAGTGCTACTCCATATGCACTGTAACGTTGTTATGCACTGCTGAGTCAGGACTGACTCATAGCTGACACGCCAGCAGTAAATTGCACAGGAGGAGACCGCCCATCTTTCTCCCACCTTTGAGTCAGCAGCCTTTAACTGGTAGGATAACTGGTATACTAATAAGATAGTATCATTTAGATGATATAAAAAATTCTTTTAGACAGGTTCAGGGCAGTGCCTGTCCAGCTGAAGGGCAACATACATTAATTTCAATTAGTTTACAAAAAGCACCTTTTATGTGATAAACCCAGGACAAGGTGATAAGAAGATGCCCAGGACAAACTTAAGTTCTGAGCCACCAACCCCCACATCCCGAGGTCAGCCCCAGTGGCCAGCAGGTAGGTCTCAGGTGGCCCTCAGCATGCTCCCTCCTTTCCACAGCACAGCTGTGCCCTCCTTCCTTGGGATTTAGGGTAGAGAAATGTCTCCCTCTCTGCCTTCTGCTGGTTCCCCTCTGTGCCCACTTCCTTAGCTATAGTTTGTTCTCTCCCCATGGTGTCTCACTGTACCCAAGACTCAGCTCTATTTCTGCAAAGCTGATGGTCAGGTATGGAGTGCTGACCTTGACTGCTCAGACGCCTCTGGCATCCTGGTTCTCTTCCTGCGAGCTGCTCCTGACACCCATCCCTCCCTTGTTGCCCTCAGGACTATCATGACCCTGCCATTCTCCACTCTACAGCCACCTCTGCCTCATTTCCTCACCACCCACAATGCAAGCTTCCAGTTCCTTCCAGATCAATATTCATAAAACACTGCTAATGTCCCCAACTAGGCATAATCAGTAAGACATTAATAAACACTGAATCACCCAATGATAAAGACATCCAGGTCATTCCCAATGTCACCAAGCACTTCTTGATTCTGCAGCCTGCCTTCAGCCCCATCCAGGCAGCTGCCTCACTGCCTCGCTAACTCATCATGCTTACTGCTGACCCCACGTCTCTGCTCCTGACATTCTCTCTCCCTCCTCGCCTCCCTCCCTGACATGAAGTTGGTTCTGACTCATAGCCCCTCCATCAGGCTTCCTGTGTATCTCAGTGTGGGGAGACTTCCCATCTGCCTCTCCCACCTCTTCTACTGTGTCTCAAAAACAAAACAAAACAAAACAAAAACCTTGTCAGCAGGTCAGGTCTTCTTCCCCCACCACAACAGGCACTCATCAAGAAGACATCGAGAACCCAAGTATTTTCATGTCAGGTTAATAGTGAACTCTTTCAGTCAATCATCACACTCTTGGGTGGGTATACTACTCAGTCTTTGGCAAGGCCTGTCCTTAAGCAAAGCAGAGCTATACAATTTCTCAAATAATTTTTGTTAAAACAGGAAAAGAGACACAAAGTCAGTCTAGTATCCATCAGTTTTTCTCTCTTGTGGACACAGGTAACCTATCTGGGTACTTACTACCTACTATTTCTTTGCTGATTTTAAACACAGTGGTCAGAGAATATCTCTCAGTGACCAGGGATATGCATTAACTCCATTTCTATCAACCAGTTTCCAAAAGTCACCTAAAAGCATGCCGTATCCACCTCACTGTCAGTAGGCTAATAGCTGAAAGGACTTCAAATGCCCTACTGCTGTAACGTCTTGCTCTGTGACATGAGATGGGGAAGGAGGAGTCTTGTTCAATGATCACAGTCAGAGCTATCTTATGGACCAATTACTTACCTGGGAATGGTTGCTTGAAGTCTCGATTTTCTCCTGGGACCTGTCTCTAGCTAGTCTGGCAGCTTCTTTCACTTCCTGGAACTTCTCTGCAAACTGAACATGAAAAACCAATTATTAGATGGTTACCAGGGATAGGAAGAGAGGGAAGAGGGAGTGAAAGTAAACAAGTAGATAAGTTGTGAGAAGGGAAAGATACAATTAAAAGCTGATTACAGTCAATTTTACACTAATCAATTATAATTAGTATTGTAAAACAAAATATATATATGAATGAGTTAAAAACCACTATGATTTTTAAATTTCTTCAGGCTTTTTTAATGTTCAAGAGAGAATAATTATTAAGGTTTTTATTAACTAGATGCATGTAGATGTGCTAATGGTATTGTCATTGTGTTGGAAAACATCCTTAGTTTTTCAGAGATGAATACTGAAGTGGTGAAGGAAAGGGTGAAATTTCTTGATTGTCTATAATTGACTTTAAAGTACCTCAACAACAACAATAAAGCAGCTGAACAAGCACGGCAAAAGGTAAACAACTTTAATCTGCACACGCACAGATGTTCATGAAATACTCATTTCTCACTTTATCAACACAGCTAGGTTCCAAAGGCTAGGTTTTTATGTAAAATTGGTATTACACTATCAGGGAGAGGACATGAAGGGGGCCCTGGGGCATGAACCCTGAGAACTGTGGTCCATGGGGAAACTGCTGCAGACATCCAGGTCTCAAGGCCTTTTCATTATGTGGACCTGGTGTTCAACAGGACCTGGGGCCCAGTGGCTTGAACAGAGGTATAATCAGGGGCTCTGGGGTGTGGGCAACTGGCAGGGCCAGGGGTCAACACAGTTGGTAGATATTGCTGTCCATGCTATCCTCCCTGCAGGCAACTCCTCCAGAGTCCCAGCTACCTCTGCCACCCCACAGGCCACGGAGTACTTCATGGAAATGGGGACACACAGCTGGCCCTGAATCTGAGGCCAAGAGCCTAGAAACTAACAGCTGTCTGGAAGAGGAGCTCAGCATCCCAGGCTGTGGAGGAGCGGGAGGTACAGCCCACGGGCCCCTGAATGACTCCAAATTCATTGCAATGTCCAAGGCAGGATCTGGTCCCTCCAGGTCATCTGAGAACAGAGGAGCAGCAATAGCAACTTTTCCAGCTTCCCTTCATCCTAGGCACCTCCATCCACTCGAGGGTCCCTCTTAAAAGGGCTCCCTCAAAATCCACTTCCTATGCATGAGGAATTAAAAGGGTGGCTCCGGTAGAGGGGAGGGGACAAGTGGGAGGCCATCTGCAGAGCTTGCTGCCTGAGTTAAAGGCTGAGAGCTCATGAGGGAGAAGCCCAGGTCAATGAACAAAATAGTTGGACAGGATATTTTCTGTTTTACTATTGTTGCAAATACAAATGTTGGATAATAAGACAGTCATTAAGTGAGGAGTAGGTGTACTATCCTCTATGCTTTTATTTGTTAAACTTTTTCATACAAGAACATGCATTAAAAATCTTAGGTCAATACTCTCAATTCCTGAGTTTCAGTTACTGACAACGCAGCTGAGTTTTATTAGCAAATACAATACTTGAAGAGAGGACATTCTAGATTGTGGTCTATAAGGCTGACATTACAAAGCTAGAGAGAGAGTCAAATGTGGTTGTTGAAAAACAGAAAATTCGTGGGCTGCAAGGCTACCAAGAATCCTAAGGGTCTTGCTGAGAAGTGATTTCTTAGTACAGGCTTCCCTCTCTGTGTATTTGCACAACTCTGACAACACTGATCTGCTCTGAGGAACCTGAGTAGACGCTAGCACGGTGAACCCAGCACTCTGGTGTAAGCAGGAAAAAGTTAACCTTTCCATTCTGTCCGAGCAGCTCGTGCAAGCTCTGTAAGTAAAGCTGCAGCCACCAGCTTTAATATTTAACCACCTCAGAACTGTCAAGGGAGCATCACCTTACCTGTTGCTCAAGGCATGTGAGGTTCAGCGGCGAGGGAAGGAGTCCCTTCTCTCTTTTGTGAATGCCTTAAATAAAAACAAGGGTGCTCAGGTGTGCAGCCCAAGGGGAGTAGCACTGTTAACCCAAAGGTGGCGCCTCTCTGGTGGTTCAAAACCACCAGCAGCATCTGAGGACGAAGATGGACAATCCCCCCCCATATGAGTTACCGACAGCTTCAGAAACCTCTTGGAGGGTCAGCTATTAGTTTCCACTCGACAGCAAGGAGCCAAGGAGACACTGGAGCTAAAGCAGTGGACTACTAACTGAAAGGACAGTGGTTTGAACCCTGCTGGTGCTCCATGGGAGAAAGATAGGGCAGTCTGCTCTTGTAAAGATTGACAACCCCAGAAACCCCACGAAGCAGCTCTCCTCTGTCCATGGGGTCATTACAAGTTAGAAATCCATAGCAGTGGCTTTGGGTTTTTTTTCTGTGTGTGTGTTGTTAAGTAAAAAAAACTCAGAATGTTGTGAACACAATCTCTCCTGGCAGAACTGTGTTGAGTAAACAAGGAACTCCAGGTTTTAGACTGTCATATCCCCAACCCAGGTGAAAAAGAAATCATGTCCATGGCTCAGGCCTGACCGAGGAGTGACAAAGCTCTTCTCCGACAGCAGCCACAGAACACAGTCAGGGAGGTAAGAGCCTGAAGTGTCTGGGAGTATTCTGCCTTAAGCCCAGCTTCCTGACTGGATAAATTAGGAAGAAAGGTCTGCTGATGTGCATTTGAAAAGTGGCCAACAGAAGCCTCATGGTGACCATGATTTGGTCCACAATGAGTTATGGGGCTTGTTCAGGACTGGGCGGCAATCTCCTCTGTTGGGCCTGGGGTCACCATCAGCTGAGGACACAACCAACAACAACTAAAAACCCCTCATTGCTGGTGAGCTGGAACTTACAGCTGGCCCACAGTTGGGTTTCCGAGGCTGTAAATCACATGGGCAGAAACTTCCCACCAAGCTCATCTAACTGGATCACCTAGGGAACTACAGTGTCACTTAGGACCTCAACATCATCCAGAAGAGAGCTGGTGCACATACCATAAAGGCTTTTCCACTGTATTACGACATTAAAAGATGATATTTAAAATATCATTTTCAATGTTTTTGTGCCCAGTATCCAATTAAAAGACAAATCTAACATCAGTAAAATGGCAACTCATGTGGTTTTCAACTAATGCCAAGTGAATTGTCCCCGCTGTGCCCAGGAGTATTTCGGACCTTCTCCAGGCTCCCACATCCTCTCTGCCAGGGTCTGCCAGGGGCCCTTTCTCACTCTGCTATTTTTCTCTTGAAACATATTCTAAGTGTCCTGACAGCTGGACTGGAAATGCCATTGTGCAGTGTCACAGGTAACAAACATAGGCCGGGGATGGCTCGTTCCTTCAGTCTCCACACTGCCTGAGCGGGGACATGCACATGGCACATCAGACACTGTTACTACCTTCCCGAAGGCTAAGAATTGAACATCAGGAGACAGGCGACAAGCCAGTAAAAAGGAACAGTGGCAGGGCTCTGACAAAGCAGCTGTGGGCAGAGCGAGGAGCCTCTATTCTCTTTGCTTTCCCCTACCTTACCTCTAGTGCCTCTAACACAAGCAGAAAAACCTTAACTAACTCTGTGAGGTTTCTAGCAGAGGGCATAACCTTAAGTTTCAACAAGCTCTTCTCCTCCCTGCTTGGTCCAGGACACCCACTGTGATGGTCCCTCTGGTGGGGTTCACAGTCCTTGCCCCGGGTGCACATACTGACCACTCTCTTTCCCTAGATGCTTAATGTAACTATATTACAGTTTACAGAGTTCACTGGCTTCTTAATGCAGATTCTATCTGCTCCCATAACACTGTGAAAAGCAGTAATTTCCATTTACAGTTTCCAAATGAAAGGTTACATGACATGTACATTGTCACAGGCTGTTGTTGGGTCCCATCGAGTTGAGTACAACTCGTAGCAACCCTATGACAACAGACATGAATCCTGTCCTATCTTGTGCCATCCTCACTATCTCTGACATGATCCCACTGATGCTGTCACCATGTCAATACATCTGGTTGAGGGTCTCTCTCTCCTTTGCTGACCCTCCTACTAGCATGCCCAAAGTGAGATGAAGCTCACCAATCTTGTCTCCAAGAAGTACTCTGGCTGCATTTCCCCCCGACATATCTGTTGGTTCTTTTGGCCGTCCATGGGATATTCAGTGTTGTTCTTCAACACAACTCAAAGACATCAATTCCTTATTCATTGTTCAGCTTACTTATTTTTGTCTTTATTAATTGTCCAGCTCTCAGATGCATAGCAAGAGACTGAAAAGACCATGACCTGCATCAGGAGAACCTTAGTCTTCAAACTGACATCCTTGCTCCTCAGTAATTTGGAGAGGGCCTTGTTAGTGGGCTTTCCCAATGCAATAAGTCTCTTGATCTCCTGAACTGCTGGTACCAAGGGTTTGATTGTGGATCTGGTTAAGATGAAATCATTGACAATTTCAATCTTTTTTCCCATTTATCATGATGTTATTTATTAGTCTAGTGGTGGGGATTTCTAGAAAAGCAAGCACATGGTAAACTTGAACTTGGCCCCAGATCTAATTCCTTGGGATGGTTCTACACATCGAGAGTTATACCAACAGTGTACCAACTTCTCATACTAGCAGTGATGGCAATTGTCTTGCTCACTGCAGTTGCTAAATATTTATTGATGTGATGTGTCATTTGCAAAGAGAAACTCCATGACCTTAAAACAGAAAAGAGAATTGTGCTGAATCTCCCTTTATGAAATCTGATACTAAAAAGGCCACAGGGACCTTTAAGGCAAAGACAAGGACCCTGGAAGAGAACATCAGATAGGGAGTGAAGGAGACCAGAGAGCGAGGTCATGTTTGATCACCTCCTCAGAGACATCACTCCTCACTGTCATCCTTCTGCAGAGGGACCTCTACAGTACCCTGTGATCTACCTGCTTAGCCACCACCTGAGCTCAGCCGCCCAACTCTATTCCTTTATCAGTCTTTTAAATTCAGGCAAATGAACCACCCAGAACCTTGGTTTCATTATTTATAAAAATAAGAATAATATTAACCTTCAAGGATCACAGGAGGATAAAAGGTAA